GGGAGCTGGGTTTTCACCTTGACTATACTGTGTGATGTCCTCATCTTCTACTTTCCAGTCTGGAGACAAAGTGAGACAATCCTCTGAGGTTTTCCTCATCTCCCGGCCATGGACTAAAATACAAAGACAAAGAGGATTACTAGACAAAAGCTGATTGGTTCCCCCAAACCAGGACTCCGCCCACATCAGGCAGCTTGGGCTCTGAGGAGCTTACAATTCCACCCTCAAGGGAACTAGGAAATGGCTCCTCTGATCTCCTACCAGGTCATTTCTTTATTCATGGACCTTAGTCAGAGAGTGAGAAAACAACCAGAACTGTCTTTTATAGGAGGGACAGTGATGAGGGGATTATAGGACGAGGGTCCCCACCCCCTCTATCACTCATCGCCATCTTCCCAACACAAGAAGTACTGCACTTCCTTATTTAGTCCATGATTTAGTCATGAAGAACAGCGGGGCTGAGCCCCACCAGAGGTCAGAGAGTGAGGATGGGGGGAGAACAACCAAGATGAAGACTGGACTGATCCTGAAGACCACCATCATTGGGGTATTGACTCCTCCCTCATTATCACTTTCTGTTTAAGAGTCCAAAGTTGAAGGATGTTATCACATTATTATCACCATGTAAAAGTCTGTGCTCCAATCACATCATCCGATATAAAATGTCCAGCTGGGGAGGAAATGGGTGTAACAAAAGAGAATCCATATTATGTGTATATATAGCAGTGGGGGGAAGGGGAGAGCAGAAGTCAGGAGTATGTAATGTACAACAGAGTATATAGTGCAGGGGTCAGGAGTATGTAATGTACAACATAGAGTATATAGTGCAGGGGTCAGGAATGTGTAATGTACAACATGGAGTATGTAATGTACAACAGAGTATATAGTGCAGGGGTCAGGAGTATGTAATGTACAACAGAGTATATACAGAGTATATAGTGCAGGGGTCAGGAGTATGGAGTATATAGTCAGGGGTCAGGAGTATGTAATGTAGTAACATGCAGGGGTCAGGAGTGTATATAGTGTGCAGGGTCAGGAGTATGTAATGTACAACATAGAGTATATAGTGCAGGGGTCAGGAGTATGTAATGTACAACAAAGTATATAGTGCAGGGGTCAGGAGTATGGAATGTACATCAGGGGTGTTGACATTTTTTAAAAAACTACTTGTCCAGGAACTAAATCGGTGTCTCAATCTACTTGTCTCTCATGACAATCTACTTGTCCTTGTAAAAAAAACATACGTTTTAACTAAAAGTGTATTTAAATCTGCTTTAAGTAATGTGTGGGGTTTTTAAAAACAAAAGGGGCTTTATAGCAACTTAAACGTTTAATATTTTTAACATTGCACATGTCAAACCTTAAATCTGCGTGCGCTCATGAAACGGCAACAAACTTCAGTGCCCATATTTTCTATAGCACTCTTATAGCCCCTTGTAGGTCATCAGTATAGTGTACAGAGGAGGTCTGCTGCTAGAATTATCGCTCTCATCACCCCCAATGTCTCCCCTTTACTACACTGAATGTAATGCGGTGTACATCGCAACGCATTACATTCTTTCCCAGCCTCAATGACAGGGAATCTATCGAACGGGGACCCGAAAGCGATGCATTACTTACGGATCAGAAGAAGGGGAGGGGAGTGGATGTGTCCACTCTCCTCCTCCCTCCCCTATACCACATCCCACAGCACCCACCGAACCAGTCTGGGGCCCGCAGAGCCCATGATATATAGCAGGAGAGAGGCTGAGACTGTGGGCTGTGTGGAAGCAATCGGGTGGCAGTGCTGCTGCCCGAATGCTTCCACCTGACAGGTGAGCTCTGCTGCTTGTCCAACAGCAGGGCTAAAGGCAAAAAAAAAAACACTATAGATTATATAGTGCAGGGGTCAGGAGTATGTAATGTACAACATAGTGTATATATAGTGCAGGGGTCAGGAGTATGTAATGTACAACATAGAGTATATAGTGCAGGGGTCAGGAGTATGTAATGTACAACATAGTAGTATATATAGTGCAGGGGTCAGGAGTATGTAATGTACAACATAGAGTATATAGTGCAGGGGTCAGGAGGATGTAATGTACAACAGAGTATATAGTGCAGGGGTCAGGAGTATGTAATGTACAACATAGAGTATAGTGCAGGGGTCAGGAGTATGTAATGTACAATATAGAGTATATAGTGCAGGGGTCAGGAGTATGTAATGTACAATATAGAGTATATAGTGCAGGGATCAGGAGTATGTAATGTACAACATAGAGTATATAGTGCAGGGGTCTGGAGTATGTAATGTACAACATAGAGTATATAGTGCAGGGGTCTGGAGTATGTAATGTACAACATAGAGTATATAGTGCAGGGGTCAGGAGTATATAATGTACAACATAGAGTATATAGTGCAGGGTCAGGAGTATGTAATGTACAATATAGAGTATATAGTGCAGGGGTCAGGAGTATGTAATGTACAACATGGAGTATATAGTGCAGGGGTCAGGAGTATGTAATGTACAACATAGAGTATATAGTGCAGGGGTCAGGAGTATGTAATGTACAACATAGAGTATATAGTGCAGGGGTCAGGAGTATGTAATGTACAACATAGAGTATATAGTGCAGGGGTCAGGAGTATGTAATGTACAACATAGTGTATATAGTATAGGGGTCAGGAGTATGTAATGTACAACATAGATATATATAGTGCAGGGGTCAGGAGTATGTAATGTACAACATACAGTATATAGTGCAGGGGTCAGGAGTATGTAATGTACAAACAGAGTATATAGTGCAGGGGTCAGGAGTATGGTATGTATGTAGTATGTAAACATACAGTATATAGTGCAGGGTCAAGATGTAATATAAATTATATAGTGCAGAGCACCCTTCTAGACAGGTTACTAGATAGCCTAGGTACCACTTTAGTTTCTTTTTTGGCTCCCCCTGTAATCAGTGTTTGATTGTTTTGGACTGTGTTCTAGGCTATTCAGGTTCAACTGCTTCCCCTGCCTTCTGGAGTATTATAAGTTATAGTGGGCTGGAAAAGGCAGATCCACAGCCTGCATATTTTTATTGTCTTAGCCAATCCCTGGAGGATGATGCCCAGTAGGTGACCAGGGAGTGCATAAATAGCCTAGGGTCTGAGGCAGCCCTGTTCTTGTTCAGGAGGAGAAGTTCCCAGCCTGAAGAGCTGCTTCCATTCTGGGCAGTCCAGCTGTGGTTGTAAATGTGCTGATCGAGGTCCCAGCTATGCTGGAGCTGAGGGGCCTATTGTACTGAACCTTGCTAGAACGGATTGAGAATCTAGTCTGGAGGGTTCATGGGAGGAATGTCTGGCTGATATTGGAAGGAGACATCTAAGTACCCAGGGACATTGTGAGTACAGACCAGTGTGTAGGATCCTAGTGACTGTGTGATGCTAGATCTGACTTACAGCGGGACATTTCCTACGGTGTCTTCATGTCACTCAGTCCATTAGTTGCTGCTGGAAGGACCGTTCTGAGAACTGTGAGAAAGTCATAGTGTCCCCATGTTACTACACTACTACTGGAGTACCCCACAGCCCCCCTGCACCATATCCCAGGTCACCCCATAATACATCATCTATAAAGGGATATTCCTAGACTGTTCATGGAGCCAGAAGAGTGACTGGGATGGAACAAGAACTGAAATTGAAGCACACACCACTGCTAAAGGTCCAGATACAACTTTATTCATTAACAGTTATGGGTACAATCCAAGAAGTAGCCAATGCGATTCGAGGGTCCGAGCGTTGCCTTCATCAGGGCTTGACTGGCATCAAAGTGAACTGGACCTACAATTGTGTTTTTTGTGCATTGTGAAATACAAGCATCTTGTGCGGCCGCCAAACCTCTGGTTTGTTCCCATTGTTGGAAGTCAAGCCCTGATGAAGGCTGCGCTCTGACCCCCTAACGGCTTTTACTGGAATTAAAATTGTATCTGGACCTCTTAGCAGTGGTGTGGAGCTTCAATTTCAGTTCTTGTTGCCTTACACTACCAGCCAGGGAGATGAAAATGTGGAGATCCTCGGGGGTGTAGAAGCCACCTGCCCAGGAACCAGATCATTTACACCACACATCAATGCCTTCATAGAAAAATACCAGGAAGAGAACCCTACGGGCCCAACACCATCTTTCCATCTTGTGTGCCTGGCTGCCACTGGGCGAGCTTTGAAAAAGAGCCTGAGGAAAAATATCAGATGGCCCATCCGGGGTGAGCGCTACAAGTGTAGTCCAATAATCAGTGGTGGCTTAAAGTGGCTCTAAAGGCTGAAGAATGCATGAAGGTAAAAAAACCTTATGCAGCTCCCCCACCCCCAGACCCCCTAATACTCACCTGAGCCCAATCTCGGTCCAGTGATGTGCTTGAGAGCTTCGGCACTCCTGGCTCTCCCTCCTCATTGGCTCAGACAGAGCCGGAGGGGGGTGGGGGGCAGGGCTGTGTCACACTCTGTTTTACGGACACACAGAGTAGGACTTTGGAGTGAGCACGTATAGCTCACCACCATAGCAAGTGGCTTGCTATGGGGGCACTCCGCATGGGGAAGTATCCAGGAGTGCAGGCAGGGTCTAGATACATAAATTGTGTCTGCAGCACAGAGAAGGAAGATTATCCGAGAGAAATCCAGGAATACAGGACGGGGAACACAGCTCAGGAAAGTGACCAGGGGATTACAGGCTGATATCACCCAGTCCCCGCCCTACTCTGGACCAATCAGTGAGCAGTATGGGTGGAGGAATGGATTTAGTGTTCATGACCCACCTGTGCTGATCTCTGTAGGAGTGTCCTCCTCTATAAATGTCCCCGTTTATTCCATCCTCCCTCACATACGCCTCTTCTTCTTCTGATTTAACCTCAACTTTTATATCTATCAGATCTTCACCCTAAACCAAGAAAATGAGAGAAAAATATAAAAAATATAAGCATTAATTTTGTGACATCACATAAAAAAATCCACAGTCCATGTTTTAGATTCTCTATCCCACCAACCTTGTAATGGTGAGGGATGGTGTCACCTCCTCCTGTGTAGAATCCCGGGAATACAGAGAACGGGGACATCTCTCTGGGGGGTTCCTGGTATTAGATGGCTCCATCATATCCTTGTGTCCTTCTGAAAACTCCTCCATCACTCCATACTCCTCATCCTCCTCTTTATACTCTTCCTTAACAATAATATTATAATCCCCGAGGATTCCACTCTGAAAGATATAATAAAACATTCATTGTAACAAACATGCTGTGTATAAATCACAACTACCAATAATTGTTCCTCATCTACCTGATGATGTGGTGAGGGATGGTGTGACCTTCCTGTGTGGAATCCCGGGAATACAGAGGACGGGGACATCTCTCTGGTGGGTTCCTGGTATTAGGTGGCTCCATCATATCCTTGTGTCCTTCTGAAAACTCCTCCATCTCCATACTCCTCTCCTCCTCCTCCTCTTTATACTCTTCTTTAACATCAATATTATCATCCCCGAGGATTCCACTCTGAAAGATATAATAAAACATTCATTGTAACAAACATGCTGTGTATAAATCACAACTACCAATAATTGTCATCATCTACCTGATGATGGTGAGGGATGGTGTGACCTTCCTGTGTGGAATCCCGGGAATACAGAGGACGGGGACATCTCTCTGGTGGGTTTCTGTGCTGGATGATTCCACCATGGTGTCCTGGTACAGATCTTTGTGTTCTTTTAGAAGCTCTGACTCCTCCATCACTCCATACTCCTCATCCTCCTCCTCCTCTTTTATACTCTTCTTTAATATCAATATTATCATCCCGAGGATTCCACTCTGAATATATAATAAAAAATGCCATCAATGGTAACAATGCAGATAATGTACAGATCCTAATGATACTATCAGTGATTGTTCCTCATCTACCTGATGATGGTGAGGGATGGTGTGACCTTCCTGTGTGGAATCCCGGGAATACAGAGGACGGGGACATCTCTCTGGTGGGTTCCCATGACTGGATCCATCTGTAGGAAACACACACACTGACTGAATCCATTGTTTCTATGTGTTTATCAGATGATGGGGGATCTAGGTGGATCCTCCGTACTGCTCTCTCCTTTACAATAAAGTCTCCTCTTACCCGGTGATGTGAGGGGCGGCTGATTGTCCATCATGACGTCCTTGTAGAGATCCTTGTGTCCTTCTAAATACTCCCACTCCTCCATGGAGAAATAGACAGTGACACCCTGACACCTTATAGGAACCTGACACACACAATGATACAGTCACCATCCAGACACATCCCTTGTCTGTTACTGGAGAATGTCCCAGAATTCCCGGCACCGCTCACCTCTCCTGTCAGCAGCTCAGTGATCTCTCTGGTGACTTCTAGAATCTTCTTCTTCTTTCTCTCTTCTATCAGGGAGGGAGGTGGAGGCAATGTGATGTCATATGATCTCCAGACTTCACAGGAGGAAAACTCTACATCTGAACACAAATAGTCACATCAAATGATATTCCCAGAATCCTCCTCACCTCTCCATTCAGGTCTCCATTTTATTAAAGCCCCACTTCAGGCTGAGGTATAATTTCCCCCCACAGGACCCCCACACTACGCAGGGTATAGGCTTGTTGCAGCATTCTGATGTCATTACATACAACGCAGGACCAACAGTCCCACTTTACATGTGAGGATACCAAGGGACCCCACATCCTAAGAGCATCAGAAAAAAAAGTCAGATGGAGAGACATTGGGAGGAGCTGTGAGGTCAGTGTGATGTCATAGGATTCTCTGACTCTGAATGGAGGAACAATGGGGGGAGGAGCATTGGGAGGAGGTCAGTGTGATGTCATAGGACATATAGACTCTGGATGGAGGGACATTGGGGGGGGATCTGTGAGGTCAGTGTGATGTCAGTGTATGTCATAGGACACAGACTCTGGTTGGATGGACATTTGGATGGGGAGATTTGAGGGTCCTCTATATGAGGCTCCTGTATAAACCAAATCCTTGTTCCTGGGTGCGTCCTACCTCTCCTAAACTGAAGAGTGACCTTTGACCTTTACCATCCAGAAATCTGTCCGGAATCTGTGGAAGTAAGCTGTCATGTGATCAGGTGACGTGCGGAGGAACGGAGTGTAAATAGCAGACAATTGTCTCCAGAGCCCCTAATGGTGGGGATGGATTTGGCGGCGTGCTGGTGCCAAGTTTCCTCCCCCCAGGGTCACTGCAGGTGTGGAGAAAAGCTGTGTAAGAGGATATGGAGGAGAGATGAGGAGGAGATCCAGGAATCAGGAGAAAGGTCAGGGCAAGCAACAGACGAGCGCATCCAAGAGACCAAGCCGGGGTCACTACACAGAAAATCAATCCAAGGAAACAACAGGCAGGACGAGGAATAGCAAGAAGGAGCTGAGAGACAAATGAGAATATTGCTCAGCCAATGGGAGATGATCTCAGCATGACTTCCATCATGAAGGGATGAGGGGGGAGGGGAGGAAGTCACTGAAGGTGACCATAGATCCATGGAAATTCAGCTGGTTCAGCAGGGATCGCTCACATTTCCATCCATGTGTGGCCACTGCCGGATAAAAGCCACTCCCCCAGCAGCTGCAGCCAATAGCTTCAGTGCTGATCTGTGTATTCTGAGAGTTGAGGAGTCCCCCCATTGTCAGAATACAAGAGTGCAGCGGGGAGGATTCCCCCATCCACCTCCAATGTGTGGATGGGGGAATCGCTTCAGTTTTTATGGTCATCCCGCTGGCTGAACGATAAAACTGAACCATGTAGGCCAGCTTTGGGAGCAAATATATTATCATCAACTCCTCCCCCTGAAGGGGTTAATCTATATATTACCTCCTCTGCTGCGCAAGATCCAGTAATGCTTCCTCTCTACTTCCCTTCCACATGGAACTTCCTGTCTGCACCTGACATCACTTCCTGTCTGACATCACTTCCTGTCTTTCATAGAGACTTCCTGTCTGGGTAGAAGTGAGATCCCACCTTGTGGAGCTCAGAGGAACTGCAGCCCCGAGAAGCGTCTGGTAGTGTGACCCCGGCCTTGTGCTGGGTGTGTATGGACTGTAGATCCTTATAGAGGGGTCACCTCCACTCCCACCAAGGGGGACAGAAATATATGACTGCTTGGGGGAGGGACCAAAGGCAGACTGACAACTCATGGGGCCCCCGGGCAATAGGGGATCATGGGGCCCCTGTGTCCTTACCCAAACTCAAAAAAGCCTATGAAAAAGGTACCAGGGACATCTCATGGGGCCCCCTACTGACCCTGGGCCCTTGGGCAGTTTCTAAATGGTCAGTCCACCTTTGCTTCTGAGCCTAACCTCCTCTTTTGACCTAAAACAATGGACGCATGCTTCTACCCACTCTAATAACAACTGCCTTGACCTCGTATTCTCATACTTATACACTCCTTGTATCCTCTTCAACATTCCTTTTCCTCTTTCCAATCACTCCCTTATCAGCTTCACTCTCTCCTTGTCTTCCTCCTCCTCCTCTTGTCTTCCGACCACCTAACAGTTACCCATAGAAACCTTCACCATCTTAACCCTTCTCTTCTTTTTTTGGCAACAGATTGTCTCTATGACAAAATCTCAGCCCTGTCCTGCCCCAACCTGGCCACTTCTGTCTACAGTTCAGTGTCATCCACCGTGGACGCATTGGCCCCCTTACTACACACAGAATGTGGCCCCACTGCTACAACCCTGGCAAACAGGCAATAGGTTGGTCTCCCCTCTGATGATGTGCTTGGGCATGAAAGGCCTTAGGAGGAACCAACAGAGCATGATGTCACATCCGCCCGGAGCCACGAGGAGGCCCGGTGGCCATTTTTAACTAAGGGGTCAGTATCACTGCCCATACTCTGCATTGGTTTTACTACCCTGTATTTTTATTGATTTTTTATTTAATAAAATTCAACCATACTACACAGTTTTTTGGCTCCTATTTGGAGCTAATTAATTCGCAGGATACCCGTAATCTGATCCACAACCACCAGGGGGAGGGAGCCCTGTATCCAGGCTGAGCCCCCATCCAACCTTAAGGGGACCTCTGGACCTAGCAGCTTTACCATACACTTTCCAAGGCAGGACGATCTACCCCATAGATGGAAGATCACCCATTCTGCCTACCATAGAGATCCTGGTGGATATTGATTATATGCGCATTATCCATGCGCGTCTGGTGAGTGCGCAATTCTATTATTGGTTCCTGCTCTAATACCTGTCCTGGAATTCTGCTATAGAAGTGGATCATCATAATTATCACTTATGAACTATTTATCTTGGAGATTATTTTTACAATTTATATATCTTAGCGCTGCACTTTATTTACTTGGTTATTTTAAATAGGCAATATTACATGCCTCAAAAATGTAGCCGTGCTCTCGTGCGTCTGCGGTGTATGACTAAGTCCCAGCAAGACTTCAACCAATATAAATCTGCCCTCCAAAAATACAATTCCTGCCTTCACACTGCCAACCAGACCTATTTTATCACTCTCATTAACCCCCACTCACGCAGTCCCCGTCAACTCTTTTCTACCTTCAACTCTCTACTTCGTCCTCCACTGACTCCACCCACTACCTCACTTGCTGCCCAGGAGATCACTAATCACTTCTAAAATAGGATAATAATACTTCCCTCATTTAACCCAGATTCTATAGAGGAAGTTACTAAACTTTTTTCTAATGTCCCCCTGTCCCCTGGACCCTGTTCCCCGGCAAATACTACGGTCACCCTCTGGTTCTATCCTACACTCTCTAACTCATATCTTCAGTATCTACCTTTTTACTGGCATCTTCCCCAACTGTCTAAAACATGAGCTAGTCACCTCCATACTTAAAAAGGCCTCACTGGACCCCACCAATCTTAACAACCTAAGACCCTCCATCTCCTTACTCCCTTTTGCTTCCAAACTCCTTGAACGTTTAGTCTACAACCGGCTGGAGCTGCCACCTCATTGAGGATAACCTTCTCGATCCTCTTCAGTCTGGATTTTGCCCTACAACACTTCACAAAAACTGCTCTCCTAAAACTCACAAACAACTTACTAACAGCTAAAACCAATGGTCACTATTCCGTACTCGTACTCTTGGACCTCTCCGCTGCTTTTGACACAGTAAACCACCCCTTCCTCCTCAAAAAACTCTATTTACTTGGCCTCCATGACTGTACTCTTTTTTGGTTCGAATCTTACCTATGAACCTCACCTTCAGTCTCACTTACAACTCTACTTCCTCCTCTGCTACTCCTCTTACTGTTGGGGTCCCCCAAGGTCCTGTCCTTGGACCTCTCCTATTTTTGATCTATACCTCTTCCCTGGGTTAGCTGATAGCTCCCTATGGTTTCCAATACCATTTTTGTGCTTATGACACACAAATCTATCTCTCTACTCCTCAGCTCACCCCATCAGTTTCCACACGTATCACTGATTTACTAACAGACATATCAGACTGGATGTCACACCACTTCTTAAAACTCACTCTATCCAAAACTGAGCTCATAATATTTCCTCCCCCACATGCCTCTTCCCCTGATTTCTCAGTCAGGATCAATGGCACAACTATCAACCCGTCCCTGCATGCCAGGGTACTAGGGGAACCGTGGATTTTGAACTATCCTTTCAGGCCAACATCCAATCTCTGTCCAAATTATGCCACTCTCAACCTCCACAACATCTCCAGAATACACCCCTTCTTAACCAATGATACCACAAAGCTCCTAATTCACTCCCTGGTTATTTCTCGCCTCGACCACTGCAACTCCTTCCTCATTGGATGACCTTTACATAGGCTATCCCCCCTCCAGTCCATCATGAATACTGCTGCCAGACTCATCCACCTTACCAATCATTTAGTGCCTGCTACTCCTCTCTGCCAATCCCTCCACTGGCTTCCACTCAGTGTCCTCCACCTCTCTCTGCCAATCTCTCCACTGGCCTCCATTCAGTGTCCTCCACCCCTCACTGCCAATCCCTCCTCTGGCTTCCACTCAGTGTCCTCCACCCCTCTCTGCCAATCCCTCCACTCAGTGTCCTCCACCCCTCTCTGCCAATCCCTCCACTCAGTGTCCTCCACCCCTCTCTGCCAATCCCTCCACTGGCCTCCACTCAGTGTCCTCCACCCCTCTCTGCCAATCCCTCCACTGGCTTCCACTCAGTGTCCTCCACCCCTCTCTGCCAAGCCCTCCACTGGCTTCCACTCAGTGTTCTCCACCCCTCTCTGCCAATACCTCCACTGGCTTCCACTCACCCAACAAATAAAATTCAAAATACTAACAACTTACAAAGCCATCCACAACTCGGCCCACAGCTACATCACTAACCTGGTCTCAAAATATTAACCAAACTGCTCTCTTTGATCCTCCCAAGACCTTCTGCTCTCTAGTTCCCATGTCACCTCCTTCATGCCCGCCTCCAGGACTTCTGAGCTTCTCCCATCCTATGGAACTACCTACCCCAATCTGTCCAGCTATCTCCTAATCTATCCACCTTTAGACGATCCCTGAAAACCCTTTTCTCTAACTAGTAAACCTCCATTTATTGCCTCCATCAGCTCATCCCCCACAGCTATTACCTTTTGTATCACTCAATTCTTCCTCCTAGATTGTAAGCTCTAACAAGAGGGCCCTCTGTTTCCTCTTGTACCAAGTTGTATTGTAACTGTAATGTCTACCTTCATTTTGTAAAGCGCTGCGCAAACTGTTGGTGCTATATAAATCCTGTATAATAATAATAACTTTATATTTTTTCTCAGCTTTTCTATGATTTGCCCATATTTTGGTCTTTTCAGTTACTTTACTAAAATGGACTCTGTTCTTGAATCACTCAGAAATATCCCCTTCTTATATCTTAATGTACCTTGTGTCAACCACTAGATGACAATGTGACGGGAGTCACTTTGGGTGGGGGGCCCATGGAACCCAGCTCACTTTGGAGAGGTGGGGAGAGCCCTGTCTCAGTTCCCTATATCCCTCTTATGCCTAGCAACTACAGTGTCTCCACAGCATCATGGAGGATGTCAGCCAGAGTGGAGGAAGCTGGCCTCCCTCCCCCACGGCAGATGTGGGGTCCCCAGCAGAAGTGCTGGCAACAGGACAGAGTGCCGCTGGCCTCTGCCTAGCAACTACACTGTCTCCACAGCATCATGGAGGCTGGGGCAATTGGCTTCTCTCCCCAGCAGCAGACTGAGATCCAGAATGTTTAAAATCATACAGCTGAAGTGCTGGCAGCTGGACAGAGAGTCAGAGACCTTTACCCCACCCCCACTGAGGACAACTACCCCTTGCAGTCAAGAAGTCAAGAATGGAAATCAGGTTGACCATCTATGTGATTTCACTCTGCCCTCAACTAACCAAAGTGGATGAGACTACAGTCCCCATCTGGATACCCCAGGGATGCTGGGCAGTCAGCCCAGATCCCCAAAAGCATGATGCAGTCAGCCCAGATCCCCAACAGCATGATGGAGTCAGCCCAGCCACCCTGTCTTCTCTCCAGTGGCTGAGAGGACTTCAGGGAGAACGATCAGTCCGTACTTCACCCCATTGGCGGGTATGTTCTATGAGAGAGACAGAGGTTGGCTGGGAGAGTAATGCTTTGTGTGGGGCAATTTGCTTGGGGTACTGTGTGGGTGCTGGCATTGGGGGACTGGAAGTACAGACTAACTTCGGAGTCAACCTGTCTGGGGTCTCCTCCTGTGTTAGTCCCCTGCTGAAAGGGGAGATATGTGATGGGAGTCACTTTGGGGGGGGCCCATGGAACCCAGCTCACTTTGGAGAGATGGGGAGACCCCTGTATCAGCTCCCCATATCCCTCTTATGTGTAAATCACCATGTGCCTGTTAGGGGTACAGGGTGATCTGTCCTAATATTGTGTGGGCTTTGTCTCAGACTGTGTAGACATGTTTAGGAGCAAACTATTATGGGATGTATGTGTTTGTGTGTATTAGCTTAGTGGGGGGGATGTTTCCAGCAGCCCTCCCTCCTGATGGGGACTGTCTGCTGGTGAGAGGTTTGAATACCTGTGTGTCTCTTGTTACTAAATGTAGATTGTCATTATATCTACCTCCTGGTTTACTTCAAGACTGGCATCATCTAGTCTTGTATGGTCGGCTGTGGTGTCTGTTGTTGGTGTTCAGATGGGGAAGCGGCATTCTAAAGGAAGTACTCAAGCACAGTCTCTGTTGGTTCCGTGACATTGGTGGCAAGCGGTGGGATTGTGCTTCCTGGATGTGAACACATCCAAACCTTCATTGGGATCCAAGGTTCGGATAGCAGGAGAGGAGAGACAGATACCACCCACAGCTATGGAAATGGAGGTCTTATGGCGGATGCAGCAAGTGCTGGCTTATCTAGACAATCCTGTTTCTGCACGGGACGAGCTTGGATGGAGGAATGCATCTGTCCAACAACTGGATGAGGGTATGGAAGATGGAGCAGTCGGCTCATCCCTCCAATTACAGATCCCAGGATGTATGGATCTAATGGATTTTTCTCTCTGGAGGATATTATGGGTGATAAGTCACCTGCCAAAGTACTGGCACTGATCCCAAGGGCCACCAGCCCGTGCCCTGGACATTTAGCCATTCCAGAGACTGGGGATTTGATAGACTTCTCTGCTGAGGAAAAACCACCTGGTGAGCCTCCAGCAGAATAGCTGGCAACAAGGCCAAACATTGCTGAGCTCTACCCAGCACCAACAGAAGCTTCAGTCTCCCGAGAGAAGAGGCGGCCGGCCTTTCTCCTACACCACTGACCGGGACATGGGATTTCCTGCCAGCAGCATCTTTGGAGGTAAAAGAAACTTCTCCATCTGAAGCGCTGATAACCGGACAGAGGGTCCAGGATCTCTGCCCCACACCTGCAGTAATTTCAGAGGCCCAGGGGGAGAAGGGAGAGGAGGTTGTTGTCCTTCCTCCCCCACAGTCAGCCAGAGTTGAGGAAGCCGGCCTCCCTCCCCAACGATTAGCCGGAGCAGATGTGGGGCCCCCAGCAGAAGTGGTGGCAACAGGACAGAGTGCCGCTGGCCTCTGCCTAGCAAGTACAGTGTCTCCACAGCATCAGGGAGGCTGGGGCGATTGGCTGCGCTCCCCAGCAGCAGACTGAGCTCCAGAATGTTTAAAATCATACAGCCGAAGTGCTGGCAGCCGGACAGAGAGTCAGAGACCTTTACCCCACCCCGACTGAGGACAACTACCCTTGCAGTCAAGAAGTCAAGAATGGAAATCAGGTTGACCATCTATGTGATTTCACTCTGCCCTCAACTAACCAAAGTGGATGAGACTACAGTCACCACCTGGATACCCCAGGGATGCTGGGCAGTCGGCCCAGATCCCCAACAGCATGATGGAGTCAGCCCAGATCCCCAACAGCATGATGGAGTCAGCCCAGCCACACTGTCTTCTCTCCAGCGGCTGAGAGGACTTCAGGGAGAAGGATCAGTCCGTACTTCTCCCCAGCAGTGGATATGTTCTACAAGAGAGGCAGAGGTTGGCTGGGTGAGTAATGCTTTGTGTGGGACAATTTGCTTGGGGTACTGTGTGGGTGCTGGCATTGGGGGACTGGAAGTACAGACTAACTTTAAAGTCAACCCGTCTGGGGTCTCCTGTGTTAGTCCACTTCCAAAAGGGGAGATATGTGACGGGAGTCACTTTGGGTGGGGGGCCCATGGAACCCAGCTCACTTTGGAGAGGTGGGGAGACCCCTGTCTCAGCTCCCCATATCCATCTTATGTGTAAATCACCCTGTGCCTGTATATATTGAGTGAGGCTCCTGATGGAACACGAAGAATGATTAACTTGATATGGTATACAGAATTAAAACATGAACCTTGTGGGTTTTTTTTAGCTCTGGATGCAGAAGAAGCTGGGGGTATCTTTCCCAAACTCTGTTGAAATTCGGCCTCTTAGGTGACAGAGCCTGGGTTTGAACCTGGGCCTGAGTGGCAATGTTTCTTCTTGATGTGCCATCTGGAATGCTGGACAGCTCCTTTGACAATTATTTGGATGACCCTGCCTTGACCTTGTTTGTCATGAACCTTGAACCCCTTGCTCCTCCCATGAACTTCCTGATATAAGCCATGTCTCTGCACTTCCTGTTTGCCAGATTATTGTAATCTCCAGCCAGTACTTGCTCCTTGCCTTCTCTGCTGTCATCCATATTTTGCTACCACTCATTATTGACCCTTGGCTTGATCTTGACTATGTTTCTGCCTGAACCCAACCTGTGACTGCTCATTACTGACCTTGGCTTGTTCTTGACTATGCTTCTGCCTGAACCCAACCTGCGACTGGTCATTACCGACCTTGGCTTGTTCTCGACTATGCTTCTGCCTGATCCCAGCCTGCGACTGGCCATTACCGACCTTGGCTTGTTCTCGACTACTCTTCTGCCTGATCCCAACCTGCGACTGCTCATTACCGACCTTGGCTTGTTCTCGACTACGCTTCTGCCTGATCCCAGCCTGCGACTGGCCATTACCGACCTTGGCTTGTTCTCGACTACTCTTCTGCCTGATCCCAACCTGCGACTGCTCATTATTGACCCTTGGCTTGTTCTCGACTCTTCTGCCTGATCCCAACCTGCAACTGCTCATTACTGACCTTGGCTTGTTCTTGACTACGCTTCTGCCTGAACCCAACCTGCGACTGCTCATTACTGACCTTGGCTTGTTCTCGACTACGCTTCTGCCTGTTCCCAACCTGCGACTGCTCATTACCGACCTTGGGTTGTTTACTGATCACGCTTCCATTCAATCCTTACCTTCTTAATACGCTACCGGACCTCCGCTTGCTCACTTCCTGGTGAGGGTGATCCTGAGGACCGCTACCTGGTACTAACACGCAGCAAAATCTCCACCATCAGGAGCTCTGGTGAACACTGGTTAGTACTTAGACTCCACACCTCAGGTGAACCCACTCCTCCACCACAGTGCACTTATCCTGCTGGTTTCGGTGTGAGCCTTTCCACTGCTATAGCATCTGGTCTTCAAGCCTGACCCCTGATTGTGACATAAGGATTTATACACTCTGCAATGATGTCATTATGCTCTAACCATACAGCCCAGGTATTCTCATCTGACATGTTGTCTAACAGATTCAACATATCCAATGGAACCAGACAGGGATGCCCACTCTCCCCGATAATCTTTGCCTTAGTGGTAGAACCTTGTCATTGTCTAATCTGGAACTCTCATAATTACCTGCGGTTCAAGAGATTCTAGGAAAATTTGGAAGGGCCTCATTATATAAAGTGAACACATCAAAATGCTACGCTCTTCCAGTATCTATTCCACAGCCTAAACAGCTATTTCACAGCAAAGGAATGAAATCTTCAAAAGGGCAGTGTAGTCATCAGAGTTACCCCACTCCGGTAGCTGTGGTCCTACCGTACATGCAGATTCCCAAATTTTTCCCAGGTGACAAGCTTTGGTTCCAGCCTGCTGGGTTTTTCCTGAACAATCGTGTTGAGCTGAATGTGGAACTCATCTGAAACAATGGCTTTGAAATGTCAAGACTTTTTGGGAGCCTAGCCCTATTTTATATTTTACACTTTCCCATTCAGATATAGTGAATGCAGGGTCCGGGGGTTGGGATGCTCCATCTATTACCTATTTAGGCCTACAATTGACCTCCCCAACTTCTAATCTTTATTCATTTAACTTCCCCAATCTATTGGATCAAACATCCAAGGAAATGACAATGATTGGCAAAGTTCAATGGTGATGGATAGGAAGAATTGCTGCAAATATTACCCAAAATGTTATACTATTTTACATCCCTTCCCATCCTTATTCCTCTGCAATTTTTCTCTCACTTGGTGGCTATGCTAAGGAACTTTATTTGGATGGAGAAGAAACCCAGAGCCCCCTTATCATCGCTATATACTCATAGGAAATTTGGAGTCTTAGGGCACCCAAAAGCATACTACCAGGCCACTCTTGGACCAACTCTGCTATTGGTTCTCTTCTCAGGACAATAAATTATGGGCTGAATTAGAACAAGCAGTTACTCCAGGGCATTACCTTTCCGCTCTAACAGTGGCCTCGAGCCTTCACCATAAACCACTGATTACAGAATACCCCACTATTCAAACCACTGTAAACGCTTGTTCTATATTGGTTGGATCAAAGTTTGCTGAAGAAATCACTTGCATAATGAGAATTCCATTGAAAGCGTATGAGTATCTTATACTTTTCTTTTCAACCAAAATGAGACTAAGAAAAGCATAAATTTTACTTCGAAAGGCATGGATGATTTAGAGGTAGCTGATCCTTATAGAGCCAACCAGATTGCACATTATCGATCTTCCAGCCCTTCCCACAAAATACTGATTCCTCAAAAAGTGTGGAAACTAAATATACACATTCAATCAAAGGTATATCATTCTGCTATAGATATTGTAACTACCATTTAATGAAAAAAAAACGTCTGCCCTATGCTTAAATGGAAGGCGGAGCTTAGCCAATCTTTTACATTAGCGCAATGGGAATGAGCCATTGAGATTAATAGCAAGTCCTCAGCCTGGGCTGATCATTGGGATAACTCACAGAAGATATTTCATAGGGTGGTGTATGACCCCTGTGAGACTACATAAGACCTATCCCGACTGCTCACCCCTTTGTTGGAGGAATAGCAAACAACCAGGTAACTTGTACATGTATTATGGTGCTGTGATATCCTTAACCACTTGCCGACCGCAGATAGCCGAATGATTGCTTCACTGCGGCCGGCCAGTTCTGGGAGGGCGTCATATGATGTCCTCCCAGAACGTGCCCTGGGGGCATGCACCCGGTGATCTCCGTGATCGCCTGTGTCCTACGGACCATTGGACATGGCTGATCACGCGGTAAAAGGCCGCTGTGATTGGCCTTTTACCACGTGATCAGCCATGTCCAATGACAGCAGATCACTGGTAAATGCAGTTGCTGGTTATCGGCTGCACTTTACTCACGCTATCACAGCATGAGGAAAGTGCTGCCGATAACTGGAAATTGTCAGAGAAGGGATCGGCACCAATCATCAGTGCCCTAATGATAAGTGCCCAGCAGTGCTACCCAACTGTGTCCATCAGTGCCACCCAACTGTGCACATCAGTACCTAGTAGTGCCACCCACCAGTGCCCATCAGTGCCACCCAGCAGTGCTCATCAGTGCCGCCCATCAGTTCCACCTATCAGTGCCCATCAGTGCTGCCTATCCATGCCACCTATCAATGCCAGCTCATCAGTGCCGCCCATCAGTCCTGCCTATCAGTGCCCATCAGTGCTACCTATCAGTGCAGCCTCATCAATGAACATCAAGGAGAAAAATTACCTGTTTGCAAAATGTTATAATAGAAACAAAGCAAACATTTTTTTTTCAAAATTTTTGCTCTTTTTTTGATTAAAACACACAAAAAAAAACACCTAGCGGTGAGTAAGATAAGAAAGCTCTATTTTTTTTAAAAAAATGATAAAATTTTCATATGGATACAATGTGGCATGACCGCGCAATTATCATTCAAAGTGCGACAGCGCTGAAAGCTGAAAATTGGCCTGGTAAGGAATGGGGTATAAGTGCCTGGTAGGAGAGGGGTTAAAAGACTCTGGAAGGAGGTTTCCTCCCTTATAACTGATGTCTCAGATCTCTACGTCCCGCTTACACCAGCTATGGCCATTTTGAGTATAGGAAGCAGTTAGGACAATTGTCATACATATCCTTTTTGCCGCATGAATTTATATTGCTAAAGAATGGAAATCCACAAATATCCCAAGATTAGACACAATAATAGCTTGCCCAACATATAGAATAGAACAACAATTTAGGTAATGAAGTTGTTGAGTTGATAACTCTGAAGTTGCCATAAACTATTGGTTGGGAACTATATTACTGGTTAGGGGATATATAGTATAATGAATTCCCTTGTAGTGCCTTATACTGGTATGGTAAGCATTGTTGGTACTTGTTAAGGTCTGTTTTAGGCCCTTTGAGATGTATTATTTATTTATTTATTTCAGGTACTTATATAGCGCCATCAATTTACGCAGCACTTTACATATATATTGTACATTCACATCAGTCCCTAACCCTCAAGGGGTGTACAATCTAAGGTCCCTAAGTTACATTCATACATACACATATTAGGGCCAATTTAGACAGGATCCAGGTAACCTACCAGCATGTCTTTGGAGTGTGGGAGGAAACCGGAGTACCCAGAGGAAAACCCACGCAGGCACAGGGAGAACATGCAAACTCCACACAGGTGGTGCGGTGGCTGGGATTTGAACCAACAACCCTAGCACTGCCAGGCGGAACTGCTAACCATTTAGCCACTGTGCTGCCCAGATTTAAAAGCCTATTCACAGTGAGAGCCCATATGGGGGGATAGGCTTGACCCTCATAAAAGAGGACTTTAACAGAACTTCTTCTCAGGTGTTTCTTTCTTTTGCTTCATATTTCCTGATCTATACCTATTATCTTATGTGTTCTAGGTATAGCAACAACTTGTTTATCGGGATATTTCATTGTACTGTATCGATGAAGCAGCAAATAAGATTGTTCCTATTGTCTTCAAAATAAAAAAAATGTTAAAGTTAAAAAAAAACAAAAAAAATCCCTATCAGGTAAGCCTAAGATATCATACCGCAAAGCACGGAACATCAAAAGTAAATTGGTCCCTAGCAAATTAAAAACATAGAATAGAACCTTCATCCATATTCCTTGCAATCAAAGGTATGTACCAGTGCCACAAACGACGATGTTTCACATGCAAATGTACTTTTACCAACAAAGGCAGAAACCTATTCATTGAATTAAATTTTTTTTTTTACAAATGTTTTTTTTTTTAAGGAAAAGACTGAAAGAACAGCATAGCAACATGAAGAATAGCATGCAATAGGACAAAGGCACATATACAACAGGAAAAAGGCACATAAGTAATAATCATCTTAATAAAGTTCAATCATGTAAGAAATACAGTCAGGTCCATAAATATTGGGACATCAACACAATTCTGACATTTTTGGCTCTATACACCACCACAATGGATTTGAAATGAAACGAACAAGATGTGCTTTAACTGCAGACTGTCAGCTTTAATTTGAGGGTATTTACATCCAAATCAGGTGAACGGTGTAGGAATTACAACAGTTTGCATATGTGCCTCCCACTTGTTAAGGGACCAAAAGTAATGGAACAGATGGCTTCTCAGCTGTTCCATGGCCAGGTGTGTGTTATTCCCTCATTATCCCAATTACAATGAGCAGATAAAAGGTCCAGAGTTCATTTCAAGTGTGCTCTTTGCATTTGGAATCTGTTGCTGTCAACTCTCAAGATGAGATCCAAAGAGTTGTCACTATCATTGAAGCAAGCCATTATTAGGCTGAAAAAAACAAAACAAACCCATCAGAGAGATAGCAAAAACATTAGGCGTGGCCAAAACAACTGTTTGGAACATTCTTAAAAAGAAGGAACGCACCGGTGAGCTCAGCAACACCAAAAGACCCAGAAGACCACGGAAAACTGTGGTGGATGACCGAAGAATTCATTTCCCTGGTGAAGAAAACACCCTTCACAACAGTTGGCCAGATCAAGAACACTCTCCAGGAGGTAGGTGTATGTGTGTCAAAGTCACCAATCAAGAGAAGACTTCACCAGAGTGAATACAGAGGGTTCACCACAAGATGGAAACCATTGGTGAGCCTCAAAAACAGGAAGGCCAGATTAGAGTTTGCCAAACGACATGTAAAAAAGCCTTCACAGTTCTGGAACAACATCCTATGGACAGATGAGACCAACATCAACTTGTACCAGAGTGATGGGAAGAGAAGAGTATGGAGAAGGAAAGGAACTGCTCATGATCCTAAGCATACCACCTCATCAGTGAAGCATGGTGGTGGTAGTGTCATGGCGTGGGCATGTATGGCTGCCAATGGAACTGCTTCTCCAGTATTTATTGATGATGTGACTGCTGACAAAAGCAGCCGGATGAATTCTGAAGTGTTTTGGGCAATATTATCTGCTCATATTCAGCCAAATGCTTCAGAACCCATTGGACGCTTCACAGTGCAGATGGACAATGACCCAAAGCAGACTGCA